CATTAGGATGATTTTTGTATCTGGATTGAGACACATTTCATGACGTCATTGTGCCGCAACGAGCGCTCGACCAACAGTGTTAGCAGTTCGTGACGTCACCCCATTTAAAATTGTACAGGTTTTGGCTATAAATCGCCAAAATCTGTCAACCCTGTCGACCAATCGCAGGCATGGGAACCGATCTAACCTAACCCTGCGCGCGCAGCTCCGAACGCAGCCAATGAGAGACTAGAACATCTCTGGGATAGTATAGCCTAAAAATATGAGTTAAGGGGTCTCTGCAGTACTTTTGGGTAAAATATGACAATCTGCTTGCGAATTAAATATATCATATAGTAAACAAAAATGTTAAAAAGGTATTTTTAAAAGCAATTCTAACTACTTTTATGGTTTCGTTCGTGTTTAAGGATGTTCTACACCCTTTCTGCCAAAATTCACGTTTTTTTAAATTTTTCTGGCAAACATGATGGAATTGACGTGAAAAAATATAACGTTTTTGCGTTTTGTCATTATTTAATGACTGACGAAATTTTAAGGTGGTGCGAACATTTTCCTGCGTTTTCTCTAAACTTTTAAAAAGAACCACAAAACTGTAGAAAAAACGCATGAAAATTATCGCACCACTACGCAACTTCGTGAGCCATTAAAGAATGACAAACCACAAAATTGTTATATTTTTTCACGTCACTCCCATCGATAATTTGCCAGAAAAATGAAAACAACGTCAATTTTGGCTAAAAGGGTGTCGAACATCCTTAATTAATTATTCAAATTGCGCCTTATACACAACCTTTATGGACACTACTTTGTCCCATACCCCTCACACTGTTGACAATGTGCTAGCCAGCAAAGGAAGCTAAATTGTTCTATATTAAGCCCTAAACTAAAATATGGGCACGAAGTCCCACCGGGTTTTATCCTTAATTTGTTCAATAAATTAATGGGTTGACCCTCGATCGGTCGCGTCATGGCACGAGCGCCGTTCTGTCTCGGTTTTTATTTTTTACGCTGAAACGTTGTTGAGAAGAAATCTGAAAAAATTGGAATTCCTACTTTCCACCATGTCAAACATTTAAACAATTTTTGTTCTGTGCATCTTTGCGCCGATCAAAAATTAAAATTCCTTAAAAATTCGACTCGGTCAAAATCTCTGTGTTTAACCTCTAAATGTCAAATTTTCGCACCGAATGGAAATCAATTTTTGAATGTTTTCACTTTTCTTGTTTTATATTGATATTAGTTGTTAGTTGGAAGTTCAGAGTTACTCGTTTAATCATAAATACATCATTTTTTGAACTTTGTTTTTTCTGAAAATGGTAAAATACACGGAACGGCGCAGCGCTCATCACGTGACCAGATACGTTTGGTAGAGGTGCGACCACTCGAGGGTTAAGGATGTTCGACACCCTTTTAGCCAAAATGGACGTTGTTTTCATTTTTCTGGCAAATGATCGATGGGAGTGACGTGAAAAAATATAACGATTTTGTGGTTTGTCATTCTTTAATGGCTCACGAAGTTGCGTAGTGGTGCGATAATTTTCATGCGTTTTTTCTACAGTTTTGTGATTCTTTTTAAAAGTTTAGAGAAAACGCAGGAAAATGTTCGCACCACCTTAAAATTTCGTCAGTCATTAAATAATGACAAAACGCAAAAACGTTATATTTTTTCACGTCAATTCCATCATAAGTTTGCCAGAAAAATTAAAAAAACGTGAATTTTGGGAGAAAGGGTGTAGAACATCCTTAAGAATAAAAATGGCTGTGTCTAACCTGAAAACATCCCCTAAAAGAGTCTCATACGTCCGATAAATCATGCAAAATCACGAATACAAGTCTCTATTCTCAATTACCCCTCGGCTTCCCTCCATAACCTCAAATGTCCTCGTCAAATAACCCATTCAAGTGCAGTTGCACATGATAAACGAGATAGAGAAGGCGTTTCACCCAATAATGTAACAACAGATGACCAACGGGTTTTGATGCTGAAGTTACCCCTGATTTATCCTTCACGAATATGTATTTCGGTTAACGCAGGGAAATCGTGTGGGTTTCCACCGCCTCTGGCTATATCCCCCGGAATCAGTTGCCAGATTATTCTATTACCGCGTATCAACATTGGGGTTTGTTTGGTATCAAAACAGCACTGGATACGCTCAACGCGCGTGCCAGGGCCAATTGTTTCAGCTATGCCCTGGCACAGATAAAGAATTTAACGTCGGGTAATTAAAAGGCTGCCGGGCAATTTTACCGCCGATCAAAATATTATTTCAGGCCTTTTTTCTTCGTTACGCTTTTACATTATTATCACAATTTAATCCTTGCAGAATAATTTTTTCCCGTGCACCTCATTAAATCAACTGATGGGGACATTTTTTTTTTCAGAAGAAAAATTCTCGCTAATTGATGAATTGAGTGGAAATTGATAAACGAGAGATTCCGAAAAAAATTGCATGCCTCGTGCATATGGAAATAGTTTGGCGGGAGGGGGGAAGGGGGACGTTACCTCGACAGCGCGAATTCACCTCCCGGGCCGCTCGAAACAATAATAATCGGCGCACGGGGGTTCCATCCCCGTGACGCTCAGCGAGCCGGTAATTAAAATAAAATTAATTGGATTGTTCTGGGCGGCGCGCGTGCTACCACGCACCCCTGCGGGCTATGTTCAAGGATATGTGTCGCGGTATGTGTGGTATACTGAGTCTTTGGTAAATGTGACAGTTAAATGATACGACGAGGTTTTTTTAATGAGGAAATGAAAGTTAATTTGGTCGATCAATTAACGAGATGAATTATGGGAGATTTTTTATTCTGTTTTAGTTGATTGTTTTTTTGTGAGTGGGTGGTGAACATTATTTTAGGATGATGGTGGAATAGAATGTATTACCCGAGTGGAAATTTAAATTAGGATAGAATAAGAGACTGACCAGTGAAAATTGATTTTGATCAATTTTGGATCAGAAATGTAACGCATTCTGATCCGAAAGTCTAATCAATAAATTCTGACCAGTATTGAACCTAATACTAATGTAGATCCAAGCTAACTGAGTGAAATTTCCACTCGGGTAGGGGATGGTGGGGCAAAATGAAACACGGGGCAAAATGAAACAGCAAGAAAATCTTGTGATCTAAGGGAGATAGAACGATTTTCATGAAAACCTTTTTTGTAGAGAATTTTACAAGCTACAAAAAAGGTCCTCTTCAAAAATGTCCTATCTCCTTTAGATGACGAGATTTTCCCACTGTTTCATTTTGCCCCGTGTTTCATTTTGCCCCATGCTCCCCTAGTTCTGGGTTAAAATCTACACTGAGAGAAAAACGACAAAGTTCTCAAGCAAGTCTTACTTGTGCCAAGAAAATATTTTTTTGAAAATTATCAAAAATGGATTTTTTGTGCCAAACATGCAGCGAGTGCGCCGGAGTGAAAAATTTTTGTCGCAAGAATAGATTTAGTAGTTGAAAAAAAATTGCATTCTCTGTACACACAAGAAATGTCGTTTCTAGCACTACTCCTTCGTTATTCGATACTCCCATATGTATTTTGCTCCCGAAAAATCTTTGTTTTATGCGAAACAAGGGATAGTAGTTTTTCGTTTCGGCTGTCTAATAATCACAGACAACAAATGAACCCTTAAATGAAACAATAATAATGATATGATAGCAATCTTGTAACTTAGGGATAAAATATTTGTTGATAAATTTTCCTCTATGTGAGATATTTTCATCCTGAAAAGGCACCGTCTGGTGTGAATTATCCGCCTCTTGAGCCAAATATTTCGTTGCTGTCGAAAGCAGAACAATTATTCATGTTTGAGATTTTCAAATTCGAATCAAACAAATTCAGTAGCGAAGCGGTAAACCGGGTCAAGTCGACTTAGCCCTTCGCTGAGTTTTCGAGGAATATCTCCGAATTCAAGAAAAATAGCGAAATTTTCATTATAACCTTTTTTGTAGAGCGAACTGAGAGCTACAAAAAAGTTTTTTAGAAAAAATTTCTATGTTCCTTAGGTTCCGAGATATTCATTAAAAACTGACCAATAGTCTAAATCGACTTAAACCGGTTTACCGCTTCGCTAGTGAATTCTTTTTTGGCAATTTTCAACTAGCGATTTTGTTGGCCCAAACAAGACTTGTTTGACAACGTGGTTGTTTGTCTCTCAGTGTAGAGTGAAGGAGTTTTGAAGAAAACTTGAAAATTCAGAGAGAATACTTCTTAAAATATGGAAAATGCATGGCAGGAAAACCCTTGTGACCCTCATGACTTTTATTCTCAGGTGTCGTCTAAGAATAATCACCTCACTCGCTTTTTTTCATTTACTTGGCTCACTTGAATTGAAAAATTATAACCCAAAATTAGATCTTATTATTTTCCGAAATGAAGACGTTTTCATCTTTAGATAATCTCAGTATCTCAAATCAAAATAATATTCCTTGGTTTTAAAAACGCCCAGAAAATTATCTTAACATTCTCTCAATTTGCGATGCATTTCACATAATTATTGAGAATTCCTTTTATGAAAAGCGTATTTTCATTCTCGAAAAACTTTAAAAGCTTGTTTTTGTGGCCTCGGAGTGTTATTAAAACCCTCCGCCCCCTAGAATCTCTGTAATTTTATAAACACCCGGTAAAATCTTGCGTCACGGTATGGGCTTCGTCGAGATTGCCTTTCTAAGCTGTACGGCTTCGTCTGCCTTGTCGGGAAAATAATTACAAAATCACGGACAGCCGCACCCCCTGTGGCCCCCTCACTTTTGTGAAGGAGTCTTTTGGAGTCATTCACAACGCCCTCGGTTAAACGAGGCATTACATGCAACCCACTTTGCATTCGTGGTTTATAATCATGAGTATAATTCAGTCCGCGAATAAATTTGGGTGCGAGAAATGAGGTAGATGAGGCTGTTGAGTTGATGAAATTAAACTCAATCAAATCAGATGCTCTTTTTTTTTAATCCCCCAACCATCAAAATTTCCCGTGAATAAAGCGAAAAATTCCACCGAAAAAATGGGCGAATCGGGGGAAAAATCGAGGGATCCCTGCAAAGAAGAGAAATGGCGGTGCGAGGAGGACGATCCCCTCTGGAGGGTCTACGTGAAGTCGTAAGAATGAAAAAAAATCAGTACACGAAAATACAGGGCGGGTGGACATGATCTCAATAAATTCAGATATCTCGAGAATGAGAGGAGACTTGAGAGAGACGACAGGTTCGATCAGCGTCAGCCGGGTGAACTCGCCAGGTTACCCGACTTGCTCAACGATGATAGTATACCACCATCCCACTGTTGCTTTCCGCTCGATACTTTCAATCTCAGTGAACGAACACGACTGCCTGACCGTATCAATACCAACGAGAAAATCAGGATTTGGCGGAACATGAAAGCGGATACTCAAGTATTTATTCATCAATTTTTATTCGCAACGAAAAAATGCAGTCGAATTGGAAATGTAGATTTTTTTTTTCAATTTGCATGAAATTTTTTTTTATTTTATTTCCTCTCGGCCACAGGATGTTAATTTTTTTTTCAACTTAAAGTCAGTTCAGCCATGAAGATGTCCCAGTGTCCCAGAAAATACCCCTATAGTCTGGAAAACTGCGCGATTCCTTCATCAGTTTTTATTATTCTCAATGAAAAATATGCACTCGAATCCGAAATCTAGAATTTTTTATTTTTATTTTTATTTTTATTTTCATAAACCTTTTTTTTTTTTTTCATTTCATTCCATTTCGGCAATGAAAATACTCCTACAGTCTTGAAAACTGCGCGATTGCTTCATCAGTTTTTATTATTCTCAATGAAAAATATGCACTCGAATCCGAAATCTAGAATTTTTTATTTTTATTTTTATTTTCATAAACCTTTTTTTTTCATTTTATTCCATTTCGGCAATGAAAATACTCCTATAGTCTTGAAAACTGCGCGATTGCTTCATCAGTTTTTATTATTCTCAATGAAAAATATGGACTCGAATCCGAAATGTAGATTTTTTTTTAAATTTTTATTTTCATGAACCTTTTTTTTAATTTTATTCCATTTCGGCAATGAAAATACTCCTATAGTCTTGAAAACTGCGCGATTGCTTCATCAGTTTTTATTATTCTCAATGAAAAATATGCACTCGAATCGGAAATCTCGAATTTTTTCTTTCAATTTACATACTTTTTTTTTCATTTCATTTTTTCTCGGCCACAAGATATTAAGTTTTTTAGAAACTTAAATTCAGTTTAGCCATGAAGATGCCCCAGTAGTGTCAAAATCTGTGCGAAAATTATGGCCCTGTGTGTCTCGCGACTTCTACGAAGACCAGAGACTCTTAAAAATCCTCGAGAAGCGAAAATTGCCGGGACTACTGCCCTGTCAGGACATTTACCCCGAGAATAACGACGAGCCCGACAATTTCGCGCATTACAAAGAGCTGGGACACGCTCGGATCCCCGTGTCATGCCCCCGCTCTGAGAAATTATTACTAGTGGATCGAGCCTCTGGCGATCATCCCGGTCTCGTCGATGGTGAGTACGTAATCTCAGAGCTGGCGTCCGAAGCCGATGAGAATCGCGTCTACACTCAAGTGTGCTTGAGGGGAACCAAGGGGATGCGTGTGATTGAATTGAGTGGGGCGAGGGCGCGGGAGAAGACCTGGAAGTTCTGTTTTTATCAGGCAATCGTTGCTCTCCTGGCTAAAACTCAGTTGAGGTCGGTGCATAATGAATTATTCTATTCAAATTCAATTTGCTTATTACGAGATCAGCCGGAACCATAACATTCCCCTGAAATTTCTCCCCCCGCAATGATAAAATCCCTTGCAGATATAAATACGCGACGAGTTCGAACATAGATTACATCTACGATCACGCCTGGATGCTGTTCATCCACATAGGAAGTCTCAACATAAAAAAGAAACTCCAGCTCGACGATATCGTCGTTTACAACTACAAATACTCGGTGGAGATTGACCTAGAGGACGAACTAGCTGTCCCAAAAATTCCCGACGTCCCCTGGACATTCCTGGAGCCATCAGTCAAGAGGATAAAGCACCAGAAGCGTCCAGAACTCATGAAGATGAGCGAGGAACTCGGCTGGGAGAAGATAAACCACAAAAACCATCCCCCAATCCACAGAGACACGGAGACAATCGAGAAATTTCTCGGGAATGTCCCAGACGATTGCCACAACTTCATCCTGAGGACTTGCAGATTCTCCCTAGCAGTCTGGAGAGATGGTAATTTCTGGTACATCTACAACCCCTACCGCTGCGATGCTTTCGGCTACTGGGATGACCAGGGCAATGCATGCATAATCAAGTTCACCTCGAGGAATACGTTAAACCGTCACATCGTCATTCTCCTGCTGAGAGCCTACGCTCACGAGGCCCACGCTATCAATAGCCCCCAGGAAGCTCCACCCCGAGAGCCCCTCATAATCCAACTATTCAAGATAACATACACCTGCGCCAAGATTCACAATCTCAAATTTCTGGAACGCAAGCCCCCAAAATCGAGGCGCCAAAAAGTCTGGAGGGACCAGGAGATCAAGCCCCTCCCCGATAACTACGCGGGACCGGTTGAGAAGAAGAGTTGGCTGAAGACACATCAGATAATTTGGACGAAATGCACAAAAGGCACCAGCAAAAAGATAAAGTGGCACGAGTATTACGTCGAGGAGCCCGACAAAGTATTCTCCCTCTGGGGCGAGATACATCCGACGGAGGAGATATTTTCAAAAAAAAACCGGGGAAATCAGGTGTACGCTTGCTATGTCGTGGCTGCTGGTATGAGTCGCATAATGGCACCGGAATATTGGACTCCCAAGACGATGGATACTGTTGTCATGTGTGGAGACAGATATTACACGTTGAGTAGACTTCAAAGTGATTTTACAACGTCAAAGGGTGAATTTATTGCTGCCTGGAATATGCGGCTGTTAAGGCACTTCAAGATCGGTGATATTCTCTTTGAGATTGATGTTATGAGGGGGGTCACGGGGAGGCTGTATACGGAGGAGTCGCTCTGGAGGATTCTCGAGCAATTCTTTATCAAGCACTCGTTTGGAATACTCAACTGTGAGAATTCATGTCTCGGGATTTTTAAACTCTCGGGGGCTTATTTCATGATGGACGTCGACTCTGTGGGACCACCGGTTTTCGGTCTGGGGGATGGGGTCGGCTATCTGGTGAGGGTCACGTCCTTCAGGAGATTTGTCGTTAGTCTGGTGATCACTATTGCGTCGGCTGAGTGCAGTTTTTTCACTCTGCATCCGGTGGAGGTCGTGAAAATTGTCGATGTTGGACCTTGAGGTCATTGGAATCATTATGCCATTGCGTGAAATAAATTTCATTTGGAAGTTCTGGTCTCCCTCAACCCTGGGGAAATGATTTGGCATTCGAGACAGTCGATTTCTCCTTTTCAACAGTTGCATCCTCACAAGTACATAATAAGAAGCAAAATAACACCGATGTAAGTTTTCCCGCAATAAATGATGTAATGGAAACTGCAGAATACAATTGAAACTCATTCGAGGAATCAATACGGAAGCCTCTGACACCAGCAACATTTCCGAAGTATCTTCCCCCAGGTGCAGCATTCAGAATTCAATGAAAGAATTCGAAAAAACTCGGGAGATGTAATATTCCAATTTTAATTCAACGGGGAATTAATTAAAACTCTTATGAAATTGTTAATAAGAACTCATGTTAAGGAGTGAGTGGAAACCGGGCAAACAGTGCGTTTCAGAGTAAACGCGGAAACAAAAGGGAAAATTTTCATTAGAATTTTATAAACACGTGGGGCACATAGGTTCAACCAAGAAAGACTCCTGTGTTTTTATCGTCTCTCCGACTGAATCAAGTCTTTGAATGTAATGTTTAATTTTCTATTGAGAAGAACATTTTTCATCCACTCCAAAAAGAGAATTTTTTTTTCATTTTCAATTCCAAATACAATAATTTTCTAGAAGATGATTGAATTAGGGATAAATACAATAGCCCAGCATGTTTGTTTTTTCACTCGACAGTCAGAAAAAAAATTCCCTCGAACTTTTCAAAAAAAAAAAATCCCACAGATGAATTTGTCACTCGCTTAGTCTTCTTTTAAGAAAAACTCCTGTATTTTTCTCATTTCTCAATTTCTCATTAACTCAAAACTGCATCACGTCACTGTCAAGAAAATGTTTATTTTTCCATTGAGAAGAAAATTTTTTAACTGCTAAAAGGGAATTTTTTTCAATTCAAAATAAAACAATTTTTTAAAAGATGATTGAATTAGGAATAAATACAATAGACCAGTAGATTCGTTTTTCCATTCGACACTCAGAAAAAAAATTCCCTCGATGAACTTTTCAAGATAAAAAAAACTCCTACAGAAGAATTTGTCACTCGCTTACTCTTCTTTTAAGAAATATTGTATTTTTCTCATTTTTGCATTTCTTATTAACTCAAAACTGCATCAAGTCGCTTTCAATATAATGCAAAAAGAGAATTTTTTTCAATTTCATTACAACAATTTTTTAAATGATGATTGAATTTGGGATAAATACAATAGCCCAGCAGGTTTGTTTTTCCATTCGACACTCAGAAAAAAAATTCCCCCGAACTTAAAAAAAAAACCTATAGAAGAATTTGTCACTCGCTTGCTCTTCTTTCAAGAAATATATGTATTTTTCTCATTTCTGCATTTCTTATCAACTCAAAACTGCATCAAGTCGCTTTCAATATAATATTTATTTCTGATTGTTATTTTTCCAACCCAAATATCGGGCAATATAATTGGCCCATTCGACATCACGTGGTACAAGCTAGAGAGTTTTCAACTGATAATTTTTTGATAATTTTCTCTGGTAGTTGCTATATAAAAAACAAAACATCATGCAGTCGAATTAACCCGTCGTCAAACTGACAGATTGAATTTATTGTGGTAATCCGAGGATTTTTATTCGAAATGAGTGTTAATTATACAATTTTCGTTTCTCAATAGTGAGTTTCGTCTCATGGTCCAATTATATTGCCCGACATTTGGATTGGAAAAATAATCCCCCAAATACCACACGAGCTTCAAAATTAATCGGGCATTTTCCTCAAGGTTCCGATAATTTTGAAGCTCTTGTGGTATTACAAGTGAGAAATTTAAAAAATGCCAAATACAATTTTCAAACGGACGAATAAATGAATAAATACAATAGCTCAGCATGTTTGTTTTTCCATTCGAAACTCAGAACGAAAATTCTCTCCATCAACTTGACAAGAAAAAAAAATCCTAAAGAAGAATTTGTCACTCGCTTGCCCTTCCATAAAAACACGATTTGAAAGGGCATTCGTACCAGTTACAATTGCGGCTTTCTGATTATTCACAAACAAAGCACCGGAAAGTCCTTAACAAGCTTGCCAAACTGGGCGCTTCACGCTCGGCCAACGCCACTGACTTTGGTCACCTGAATAATTGAGTACCTCGTGAATTTCTTCGCCCCCACACTCTGTGAAAATAAAGGCATCTGAGAGAGAGACACTAAATCTGGGATAGAAACAGAACCACTTAAGTCGAGCGTCTTTAGGTCTCAACGCTCTTGTACGACTCTCCTTCAACCAACGGGGGACCATTAAACTTGCACCGGGAATCGTCTTAGTTTCGGTACGCCCCGAGGGTTTATGTACTTACCCCTGGAAACTCGGCTAACTTTACGGTGCGGCGAACTTCCACCAAAACCCCCACGTCCCTGTGTCCGTAATTGCCAACCCCTAGGCCAGGGGGGGAGGGGGAGTTGCTATTCTAACAATTTTTTTTATTCATCCACTATCTCCCGGAAAATTCGCGACAATTTGCCGAGGACCTCTTCAAATACCTTTTTCAGAGGAAAAATATTCGCCATTGGGAATTCTCTGATATGCATTCTATAGCTTATTTTTTTATAATTTTTTATCAAAATTTTCATCATGATTTTTTTAAGTGAAGAAATACTTTTTTATCTCTCTATATTATAAAAATCCAAATCGACTTCTGGTGATAAAAGTTAAGGGTCATGAGGGTCAGATTAAGGATCGCAAGAGTCAAAATGAGAGTTTCAATATCTCTCTAAATTGCAAAAAGCCAAATCGGCTTTTGGTGATGAAAATTTGGTGCCCAAAATTAAGGGTTAGAAATGAAGAGTCAAAGTGAGGGTCACGAGGGTCAGATTAAGGGTCACAAGCGGGTGGGGGTTGGCGAGCGGAATTCTCTGATATGCATTCTATAGCTTATTTTTTTATAATTTTTTATCAAAATTTTCATCATGATTTTTTTAAGTGAAGAAATACTTTTTTATCTCTCTATATTATAAAAATCCAAATCGACTTCTGGTGATAAAAGTTAAGGGTCATGAGGGTCAGATTAAGGATCGCAAGAGTCAAAATGAGAGTTTCAATATCTCTCTAAATTGCAAAAAGCCAAATCGGCTTTTGGTGATGAAAATTTGGTGCCCAAAATTAAGGGTTAGAAATGAAGAGTCAAAGTGAGGGTCACGAGGGTCAGATTAAGGGTCACAAGCGGGTGGGGGTTGGCGAGCGGAATTCTCTGATATGCATTCTATAGCTTATTTTTTTATAATTTTTTATCAAAATTTTCATCATGATTTTTTTAAGTGAAGAAATACTTTTTTATCTCTCTATATTATAAAAATCCAAATCGACTTCTGGTGATAAAAGTTAAGGGTCATGAGGGTCAGATTAAGGATCGCAAGAGTCAAAATGAGAGTTTCAATATCTCTCTAAATTGCAAAAAGCCAAATCGGCTTTTGGTGATGAAAATTTGGTGCCCAAAATTAAGGGTTAGAAATGAAGAGTCAAAGTGAGGGTCACGAGGGTCAGATTAAGGGTCACAAGCGGGTGGGGGTTGGCGAGCGGAATTCTCTGATATGCATTCTATAGCTTATTTTTTTATAATTTTTTATCAAAATTTTCATCATGATTTTTTTAAGTGAAGAAATACTTTTTTATCTCTCTATATTATAAAAATCCAAATCGACTTCTGGTGATAAAAGTTAAGGGTCAGAAGGGTCAGATTAAGGATCGCAAGAGTCAAAATGAGAGTTTCAATATCTCTCTAAATTGCAAAAAGCCAAATCGGCTTTTGGTGATGAAAATTTGGTGCCCAAAATTAAGGGTTAGAAATGAAGAGTCAAAGTGAGGGTCACGAGGGTCAGATTAAGGGTCACAAGCGGGTGGGGGTTGGCGAGCGGAGCGGGCAGGGGGCGTTGCCACCTAGTAATTAATGCTTATCAAGTTGTGAAGCTATAAACAATTAATTACTAAATTAATTATTTGTTTACGAGCTATTACAAATCAAACACACATTATTCATTCTCTATTACGATCGCATAAGACATTACCACCCGATGCTCAAGGTTCTGTCACCTTTGTAATAGAGCAGTCTTACTTGTGCCAAAAAAATAGTTTTTTGAAAATTATCAGAAAAGGATTTTTCTTGTGCCAAACATGCAGAGAGTGCGCCGGAATGAAAAATTGTTGTCGCAAAAATAGATTCAGTAGTTAAAAAAAAATTGCATTCTCTGTACACGCAAGAAATGTCATTTCTAGCACTATTCCTTCGTTTTTCGATACTCCCATAAGTATTTTGCTCCCGAAAAATCTTTGTTTTATGCGAAACAAGCGATAGTAGTTTTTCGTTTCGGCTGTCTAGTAATCACAGACAACAAATCTGTAGCGAAGCGGTAAGCCGGTTTAAGTCGATTTAGACTATTGGTCAGTTTTTAACAAATATCTCGGAATCTAAGGAAGATAGTTATGTTTGTGTAATAACCTTGTTTGAAACGCAACTTAAATTCCAGAACATTCTGGTCGACTATCGGCCTACTTCGAAAATCTCCGGGATCCTTCGGGTCATCAGTCATAAGTCACCGAAACACGCGCGAATCAGTTTAGGCTTAGCCTCTCACCGTACAAGTCTATCTCGGGCAAATCACCTGTACAAGTTTTATATCGCACCTCACCGAGTACAGTAGCTCTTTGAACCTCACCTAACTCACTAGTAATCAAGTACATCACCGGTCTTTGTAAGATCATCGTTTTGTTCAGTACATCACCTCTGTTGATTAAATTCAGCCTAAAGTCAGTGACTCAACGAATTTACAGTGAAAGACAATCATCAATTTAATTAGACATTCAACTATTAAAATTTCCAAAGAGTGTAAATAGTTTTGACAAAGTGGTTCGATCCCACAAAATAAAGTGTGATATTTTAAATCCGGCTCATCAGTAATTTTCCCAACAACTCCCTCCACATTTTCATCCCACATCCACCCTAAATTTAGTCATTCACCAAACAAACCTTTTTTGTAGCTCTTAATTCGCTCTACAAAAAAGGTTATGATGACAATTTCGCTATTTCTCTTAGATTCGGAGATATTCCTCGAAAACTCAGCGAAGAGCTAAGTCGACTTGACCCGGTTTACTGCTTCGCTACTGAAATGAACCCTTAAATGAAACAATAATAATTATATGATAGCAATCTTGTAACTTAGGGATAAAATATTAGTTGATGAATTTTCCTCTCATATTCAATTTTGCACAATAATTTATTTCGTATTTATACACATTTACCAAGCATATGTACAGGTCTACTCGTATTTACAAGTTAACGTGATGTATTTACATAATTTATTTTATACGCTATTTTGATTTTTTCTTTAGGGCTCTAGAGTACTTTATTATACGATAGTTAAGTCATTTTAGTGACGGTTCTTGGAGTCATTATAAAAGGATTCACTGGGATGTGGAGTACCGGGTTTGGGGGGGTGAACTACGCCACCTCGAGGTCAGAACTGTCGGTGTCCGGCTCGTGTTGGCCGTTCAGGGAAATGTGACCACGGGACAGGGGGGGCATTCCGTCCTCCGTTCGTTGACGCTGCTCCAGCTGCAGCTTGCGGAGACGCTCTTGCTCTTCTCGCTTCTGCTTCCGCCATTTTGCTCGACGATTCTTAAACCATACCTTCAACAAAATGGAGGCAATCAGTCATTTTGCACTTTTATCCCATCTTTTAGATAACATTCCTTCGAAATAATTTTTCATCTCAATTTTTCTCCAATTTTATCTCATCATTCGCAAAGGAATTATTTTCAGAGAAAATATCTTCGATGGTCTCAAAAATTATTCTTGAATGTTTTATCTCAGACTGTTTTGAAGATTATTCATCGGGAAATATTTTTTTTATGCATACAAATAATAGATCTTCATCAAGAAAAATTATTCCAGACTATCTAAAACAATTATCTCGCAAGTTTTTCTTGAGATCATTTTTTTTTCAAAATGAAAAAATTAAGACATGTAATCTTGAAAAAATAAAAAAAAAATTATTCAATCAAAATATTTATGAGTTTTTCGCGAATCACATCGTCAACTCAAACAATTTGATTTTATCGAGAAGAGCAAGTGTTTTTCCAGCGACAAATTACCCCTCCGTTAACATTTTCATTCTTATTCCCTCGTTTTTACTTGTATTTGACTTTCCCTTTGAGACCGGTGTGTTTGGAGAGTGTCTCCCTCGCGCGTGTAAATCAAATATCTCAAGTTTTTCCACCGTATACATTTTCCTCTTCGTTGAAAATACGAGAACTGAAATCCTCGTACTAATTCTCAGCAAATAACAACGATGAATAGTTGCAGGTGTATACACGCTATCCAGGTATGTGTTGTTTCAGAATCTTGGGGATGACGGGAAGTTTTTGGAGCTAGGTGGGTGGTCTGTGATATGCATATTGACTCTAATATTATAGTTTAGTTAAGAGGATGAAGTGGAGTTGAAAGAAAAAATTAGCTTTTATGCAAAATTCAATATTTTTCTTTCAATGAAGAAAAATTCATTAAAAACACCTTCCAAGGGCCAATTTTGCGCACGAAGAGAAATGTTCCTTTTCGATTTTTTCAAATCAAAATGTTAACAGCTCATTCAATTTTAAATAAAATGGAATAATTTTTTTTCCACGGGAACTACACTTTTTCCCCTTTAGAATGAGCCTAGACTCAATTAATGAATTTGTTTCTGAGTTATGAGTATCACAAAAAAAGTCAAAAGGGGCCGTTTTACCCCACTCTCCCCTACTAGCATTTTTCTAGAAAATTTCTCTCCGTGTACAGTCACTTGACCCTAGTTTGGTCACCTGACGGGAACTTGCGACTCTGGTCACCTCCGCGGGGATTTGCCGCCGTGTTATTTAGGCTCCAGCGTTGCCGAATTCACTCTACACTGCCCGGGCGCGTTTAACGAGTTTCCAGCAACGTCGCGCAACGGGCAATTTCATTTAACATGGGAAAAAATTGTTCAACTGTTGGAAATGATTTTTTTTCTTCCACAATTTGGGATGTAATATTAAAAAAACAATACTAAAATTTTCCAGATACTTTAATTGACGAATTCAAATTTTTTCGGATTTTTCCGGTCAACCAGCCGGTGACAAGACGAAAAAAACGACACGTGCGGCAATTCCCTCGCATGGTGACCAATCTAGGGTTAAATTTTCTTAGTCGATTCCGTATAATCGGTGAGCGAATCGTGAGTGCCGTAATTTTTATTGACCATTTCTCTCCGTGCACTGATAGAATGATTCATTTAGGGGAGGGTGGGGTAAAACGGACAGTTTAGACTTTTATAGAATTATTCATAACTCAGAAACAAATTGATCAATTGAGCTCACTTTAGGCTCGTCACAAAGGGAACGAATTGTTTTTTGTAATGAAAAAAAAATTATCAAATTTTATCACCATTTGAACCCCTCATTAATATTTTAAAAAAAGTCAAAAGTGTCCGTTTTACCCCAAACTCCCCTATTCCAAACGAGATTTGTTAACTATTAACGAACGGTAGAGTTGAATGTTCAACTAGTTAACGAATGGTTCACTTGAATGGCGAAAGTCAATTCAAACAAGGCTCCTCAAATATACATTCATTAACTATTAACGAATGAACATTTGGTGGGACCGAATAGACCCTAACCTCCAACCAAAATCCATTCGTTAACAATAACTAATCCGTTCTATCAGTGTGGTTTCCTCATAAAAAAAAATGTTTTTTTTTTTGGAAATATTTATTCTAATAGATTTGGTTTTATTGATTGAAATGAAGAATACGACCGATGGAAAAATAGGTGATGCTCGTGATACTCTGAAAGGATACATGTGTATATTTAAATCTTCTCGTCTTTCTCCGGGGGGGGGGGGGGNGGGGGGGGGGGGGGGTGAAAACCGTGCGGTGCGCCCTTTTCGTGAATCATTGGAGCGCAGTGAAACGAGAATCGCACACCCATCGAGTTAAGCCACAACGAAGGAAAGCGACAACAATACGAGTGAATATATTCTGAGAATGGTGAATATAGAGAGGAATAACATGTTGAAGGGAAATGAGAAGAAAAAAATTCTAAAAAGATGAAAAACTTTTTAGGCGGGGAAATTAAACAACTTGAGACAAATCTAGACTAATTAGACGTAAGAGAGATGATCATGTGCCGTTGTGATCGCGTGCCCATGTGGTGGATTTATCACTGTAAATAATCAAACGGCATGTGAGGAATTCGTGGAGTGCAGTCGCGACACATGTCCAATTTAAATAATTAAAATGCACCGGCAGTGATGGAATTACTCAGAATTAAATGAATTATCCTCGAAGCTTTTAATCTAGTGTGCAATCGGGTTAATATTAGTCTGCATTATTAATTCGTCAATCCGGAAATTGTTCATTCCAGTAATCGGTTTTTTAATCAACCTCCGAGGGTTTACTGCATAAAACTGAATAGTTCAGTTCCATTCAGTTTTCGTTAAGGATTTTAGTATACAATTTTTTGGGTCAATTCTATTAAATTCTTGTCGATGCGGACCATTAGGGCAACGTTTAGATTTTGAGATTATCGACAATTTTTTTTTGCTCTTTATCGCGGGAGTTCAGTTCATCAACAGGCAAGGAGAAAAATGCACTCTCTATCACGTGATATTGTTGAATAATAAATAGAGAGGTAATGGTAATTTCCAAACCCGGCTGTGTGGCGCGCTTGGTAGCAGCATGAGATTCACAACCTCAAGCTCCCAGGTTCGAGCCCCGGCCGGGCCAAAATTCCACACCAATTTTTCATCACAATTTTCCACATAATATTCAACTGAAAATTCAACACAATTTTCAAACCGAATATTCCACGGAATTTTCAACTGAAAAATCCACTCTACATTCAACATTCCCTGGCTGAAGGCCCTCGGGCGATCACCGCGTTGGCAAGTTAACCCTTGCAACGAAAAACCGGTGAAATTTGAATTTTTTTGGTAATTTCCAAATCGAAAATATTTCTCCAGAATATTGTGTATCTAAAAAAAATGAGTTTCTTGCCCGCGTAAAAAAATTTCTGCCTTTCGAATAACTTCCAGAGATTTATGTGAAAGATCTTCTTGATGAAAAGATTTTTCAGAAGACAAAATCTTTCAGAGAACAATTCGAAAGATCTCTAGAAGATAAATTTGGAATGTCTTTGGGAGCCGATTTTTTTAGATCTTCGGAAGCCATTTTTTAAGATCTTTGGAAAACAATTTCTTTGTCTTCACCATTTTTTTTTGAAAATCTTTGAGAGACTTTTTTCGTTTTCTTTTCTGGTCAAAAAGATTTGACTCGAAGTTTTTAGACCCTCAATTTTTTAAGAAGATCTTTAGAAGACAATTTTTTTTTCTTCAGAAGGCATTTTTTTTTCAGAAGACAATTTTTTTGTGAAAATCTTTTCGAGCCTTTTTTTGTTCTCTTTTCTGGTCAAAAAGATTTGACTCGAAATTTTTAGACCTTCAATTTTTTGACCCTTGAAATGTTGACGATGCGATCGCAAATATTTGTAAAAAAAGTTTTCTGAAAAAAAAAATTGTCTTCCAAAGATCTAAAAAAAATTGTCTCTTTTCTCTCTTCGTCAAACGATTTTCCAACCAACAAATAAGTCTTCGAGGCAGCGGTTAATTCAATCCGATTCAAAAAAATTATCGATCAGTCCACAACTTCGTTAGACCAATTGCCCCACTAAAATTAAAATAACCGAGGGGAACCAGCCCCCCCCCCCTCCGCGCTCCACGGAAGCCTCAAGTTTTCACAGATAAATTGTCCGTGACGTTGGACTGTTTGTCTATCACTGGAAACCCGATAGTGTACTCCGAAGGGTTCGAGAAGAAAAAAGCAATTTGTCAGTTCAAACTTCCCCATTAGGGTGCGGTCCAAGGTCACCCTGTATTTGACCAAGAATTATTTATTCCGCGGTCTCGAAACCCG